TTAGGACCTTGGCCAGGAGGAGTCAGAGCAGTCTGGAATGAGCTGGAGGTCAAGAGTGCCAGCTTCTGCTGCTTGCCTGGCCGTGATTTGATTTGGGTCTGGGCAGCTGGGAGGCTGGGACTGGCCCAAGGGCTCAGAGGAGTAGCTGGCTGTAGGGTTTGGCTGCACAGGAAGCCTCAGGCTCCCAGGTTCGTGGATGTCCTGGCTATGAGTGAGTACAATTTCCCAGCAGACCCTTCCCAGCATCCCACCGTGGTGACCTAGGGCCACAGGAAGGGGACTAAGCAGCCTCTTCTCAGAGCATCCTCACCGTGGACCCTCTCCCAGATCCTTGAGAGGTCTGACGTGTATTCGATGTTCTTAATGATACAGAGTTTTCTTTCGTCTTCTGAGACACTTTCACTGTAGAGCCCTGGCTGGTCTGGAACTTGTTATATAGCCCACGTTGGCCCTGAACTCAGAGATGTGCGTGCCACTTGCCTCCTGAGTGCTGGGATTAAAGGTGTGCACCATTACATCCAGTTGGTTTTTATTTTCGTTGTTATTTGTTTTGAGACAAGGTCTCATAGCCAGGTTGGCCTCACACTTACCATGTAGCCCATGATATCTTTGAATTCCCAATCACTGTGCCTCTATTTCCCAAATGCTTGGAATTATAGATGTGTGCACCTGGCTTGGCTTATTTATTGATAATTAATTTTTGTGATGCTGGGGATGAAATTCAGGACCTTGAACTTGCCAGGCAGATGGCTCTAGTGTAGAGCTATACTCCTAGACCCTCACTGGGGGATCCTAGGCAGGGGCTCTACCACTGAGCCACGCCCCCAGCCCCTCACTGGGGGATTCTAGGCAGGGGTTCTACCACTGAGCCACGCCCCCAGCCCCTCACTGGGGGATTCTAGGCAGGGGCTCTACCACTGAGCCACACCCCCAGCCCCTCACTGGGGAATTCTAGACAGGGGCTCTACCACTGAGCCACGCCCCCAGCCCCTCACTGGGGGATTCTAGGCAGGGGCTCTACCACCGAGCCACGCCCCCAGCCCCTCACTGGGGGATTCTAGGCAGATGCTCTACCACCGAGCCATGCCCCCAGCCCCTCACTGGGGATTCTAGGCAGGGGCTCTATCACTGAGCCACGCCCCCAGCCCCTCACTGGGGGATCCTAGGCAGGGGCTCTACCACTGAGCCACGCCCCCAGCCCCTCACTGAGGGATTCTAGGCAGGGGCTCTACCACTGAGCCACGCCCCAGCCCCTCACTGGGGGATTCTAGGCAGGTGTTCTACCACTGAGCCACGCCCCTAGCCTCTCACTGGGAGATTCTAGGCAGGGGCTCTACCACTGAGCCACGCCCCCAGCCCCTCACTGGGGGATCCTAGGCAGCTGCTCCATTGCTGGGCCACACTGTCAGCCCCTCACTGGAAGATGGTAGGCTAGTGGTCTTCCATTGAAACCATGCCTCTAGCTCCTCACTGAGGGATTCTAGGCATGTGGTCTGTGGCTGGGCCATACACACAGCCCTCTTTTTGAATCTTGTTGTTGGTAGAGATGGAATTTCACTAAGTTTCTCAGGATGGCTTGAACTTACTCTGTACTCAGGCTGTCCTAGAACCTGGATACTCCTGCTTTGCCCATCTGAGTAGCTAAGATAACAGGGTCCTGATAAAACCATTTTTCCCCTATATTTTTATTTATTTTGGTGGTGGTGGTGGTGGTGGTGTGTGTGTGTGTCTGTCTGTCTGTCTGTCTGTCTGTCCGCACGCATATACTACCACATGCCTGTGGAGGTCAGGGGACAACTTACAGGAGTCAATTCTCTCCTACCATTTGGGCCCTGGGGATCGAACTCGGGTCCTTAGCAAGCACCTTTATCCTCTGAGCCATTTCACTGGCCGTAAAACCAGTTTTTTCGTGTAGTCCAAGAGCAGATCTGAGCCTGTATGGGAACTTTAATCCAGCAACTTGGTTACTCTGGCAAGGGATCACATCCAAAGACCTAGGTCTATATGATCTGACCGGAATGCAGACACACCCTGGATTACAGTAAGATCTGGCTGGAATACCGACACACCCTTAGTATGTACCTTTAACCCCTAACCATGAAGGTAAGGTTAGTTTGTAGAAGGAAGCGGCCATGTTTGAAAGTAACGTCTAATTGAGGGGCAGACAAAGTAACATCAGGGAAAGATTTGACAGAATGAGAGAAAGATAGGACACGCCCCACCCTCTCGCATACAGCACAGGAAAGAGACTACTTAAGGCAGCGAGGTGTGCGTGTGGCAGTTTTGCTGGGAAGGGTGGCCGAGAGGACAGGCTAGACACAAGTGAAGACAGAACAAGCAAGAGCATGAGAAGGAGCCAGAAGATTAGAACAGATAGCAAAAGTATGAGGCCAGGCAGGGCAACTCAGGCAGAAGCTGAATTCAATCAGCTTGGAAAATTAGATTGTACAGAGGCTAGAAGCTTCCAGGCCATGGCTTCGGGATGCTTAGAACGGAGAAAGACCCACTCCGAGCTCAGCTCAAGCTGTGTCTTTGCGCAGCTTGAGAACAGGTTTCATCCCTTCCTCTGAGGAAATACAAGCAACATTTACAGAGCCAATACCGGGTCCAGAGCTGCTTTTCATTCTGTTTAATGATCTGGTGTTTTGTTGCTGAGGTGTCTTCTTAACCCCCATATGGTACCTTATGGCCCCTGCTGCTGTCTTGAGTTTCCCGGGACACTGCAGCCAGGTTTGGAGAGTGTCTGGGATTCTGTGCTTGGCCACAGAGGAACACCCAGCCCCCACTCATACACACACACACACACACACACACACACACCAGACAATGAGTTGGGCCCTGGGGGTCAGCCGTGGTGGACAGATACAGTTTGGTTCTTGAAGAGTTTACAGTCTAGTAGTCAGTTGTAGTGGCGGTAGACGTCCTCGGCTTGGTGCCTTTTAAGGCTGTGGGCATGGAGGCCCTGCCACCTGGCTGTTTGCTACCCCACCCAGTGAGTGCCTAGAATCCTTGTTGACAGGTGGCAGACAGGTGGCAAACAGGGTGTGGATCTACTGCTCTATGGCTGGGTGACACACCCAGCCAGGGGCCTTAGAGGGCCCTGGGGAACAAGCCCAGAGAGTGTCCTGCCTTTGTCCCTTACCTCCTTTTCTTAGGGTAGTGAGGGGCAGGTGCTCTCAGAGGCAGCAAGTGGGACCTCCTCACTCCCGTTTCTTGCGATAGCTCTGGAAGAACAGGCTTGTACGAGCCCCCAGCAATCAGCAACCTTGTCTTTGGATTTAGGCTTGAGCAAAGAAGCCTTTAAAGGAGGAACTTTGGGGAGCACAGTAGGTCAGTACAAAGTCCTTTCCTGGAGAATATCTAGTTTGAGGAAGTAGCCTGTGCCCCGTCGTGGCTGTCTGCACCTGCTCCAAGTCTATGGCCCACATCCAGGAAGCAGACTCAGGCTTCAGCAGTGGCCTTGATCTGGGAGCTTGTGACCAAGCCCAGAGGCGTGTACAGAGGTGACGGGGGCAATGCCCAGCTAAGCCATGGGTGAGGCAGTCAGGTGCCTTTCCCACAGGATTGGTTATAGGGATGGGGACACAGGCTGGTAATCTCAGTTCTTGACAGGCAGAAAGAGGAAGATCTAGAGTTCAGGCAGCTAGCTGGAACTGGAAAGTAAGGCCTTGTTCAAAACCTGTGGGCCGTAGACAGCCATGAGCAAGCGGTGTGAGCGGTAGAGGGCTGTTACCTGTGTTACGTTTGTGGAGGACACTGGCAGTTAGGACCCTACTGGGCTCATGACAGACTAGTATGGTATTGGGTTCACTTTTGTGATGGATTATATCCCTAGGCACTGTTCTTGGAGCATAACTCTCAGCTATGTTTCTGGTGTATGCCTTTTTGTGAAGTGACATGACCAAGTGTCTGTCCCAGGAAGGCACCCACAATAGATTGAAGAAAATTCTATTGGAGACTAGCTTGGTGAATGAGTGAATGGTTATTTGCTGAAGCATGGGTAATTATTGTTATGTGCTGTGAGGAGAAACCATGACCAAGACAACTTATAGAAAAACAAAACCCATTTAAGAGAGGTCTTGTTTGTGGTTTTAGAGGCTAGCTAGTCCATGGTCATCATTGGCAGGAAACAGACAGGCATGGCACTGGGAGAGTAGCTGAGAGCTTTATATCCATATCTATGGGTAGAAAGCAGAGAGAGACATACAGTCTGGCATGGGCTTTTGAAACATCAAAGCCCACCCCAGTGACACACTTCCTGTAGTAAGCCACACCCACTCCAACAAGACCACACCTCCTAATCCTTCTCAAACAGTTCTCCAACTGGGGATAAAACATTCAGACATGTGAGCCTGTGGGGGCTATTCTCATTCAAACCACCACAATGGGCGACAGATTACTTGTTGTAATGGTGGTGACTCAAAAGGCATTACCAAAGCCCACTTCATCATGGTTGATGTCACCCACAAGAAGTTGCATCTCTAGAAGTCTGTATGAGCTGCAGACAGCTCTACAGAAGAGTGTCCCGTATTCTTGCCCCATTCTCTTACACACAATTGCTCTGCATTTATAATCTTTGGGAGGGGCCTTGTGAATGTTACAACTTTCTGAGTTTCCAGAGCTTTGAGAGCTTCTCTGAGTTTCCTGGGTCTTGTAAGCTTCCTGAGCCTTATGAGTTTCCTGAGTTTCCTGAGTTGTATAAGTTGCTTTGTCCTTGAGTCTCAGGATCCTCTCTCTAGGAGGGAATGTTCCATTCAAATAGGAGGAAATAATTATACGTTATTCGTTTAGATACATGTAGGTTTCTGCAGTAGCTGCTGTCTCCCCGGCTGTGGAAGTTCAAATCTCTGCCATAACTTTGAGGCCCTTGATTAATGGGAAGGAAGGCCAGCTGGCATTCTGGTCCCACTTGTGAAGCCCAGGTGACCTTGGGAGCCAGGTCTGCCTACCCAATTATACCATGTGTCTACTACCCACTGTATCCTCTCTGTTCTCTCTAGGTGACCATGGCCTTGCTGGGGAAGCACTGTGACATCCCCACCAACGGCTGTGGGTCCGAGCGCTGGAACTCCACCTTCGCCCGCAAGGACGAGCTCATCAACAGTCTGGTGTCTGCCTTAGACTCCATGGTGAGTGTCTGGCCAGGCGGGAGAACGGAGAGGTTATGTCCATCAAAATCTCTTATCACTGGCGACTAGAGCGATAGCTCAAGTAGTAAAGTGCTTACCTTGCAGTCATGAGGACCTGAGTTCAATCCCCCAGAATCCAGATAAAAAAATCAGGCCTGGTAGCCCACACTTGTAATCCCAGCGTAAAGGAGGCCTGTCTAGCAAACTCAAGCCAGTAGGTGACCTTGCCTTTAACATAAATTGAGGAACAATAGCTAAGGTTATCCTTTGGCTTCTACACACATGCACACTTATGTATAGACACCAGGATATGCATACATAGATAGATAGATAGATAGATAGATAGATACATACATACATACATACATACATACATACATACATACATATGCCTGGAATCACAAGAGTTGGGAGGTTACAATATTAGAATCATGAGTTCGAGACCAGCCTAGGCTACAAAATAAACTCACTAATAAAATAAGTGTTTAGCATGAAGTAGGCTCTAGGCTTGAATCCTGGCACCACCCCCACACAAGCCTAAGCAGGGGCAAACAGAAGAGTACTCTACCTGGTATTCATTAGCATTTTAGGGTGATAAAGTGGAAACTCAGAGGGGGCCGCGTCTTGCTTGAGGTCACAAAGTGTGATCAAGTACACAGTTCCTGGTCTCAAGCATAGAGAGCCTCCTGTCTATATAGTTCTGAACCACACATATCCTGAACCTCACAGCCTGTCGGCGGTGGTGGGCATGACTGATGGCACTGATGGACCACGCCACCAGCAATTCTTTGCACCCTCAGCATTTTGAGTCAGACTCTCAAACCGTTAGGCCGTCCTGAAACTCATGGCATCCTCCCCAAGGTGCTCCTGTTTGCTTAAGGGTGCCATAAGAGGTGAGACTGTGGCCCAGAGAGGTTGACGAACTTGTCCTAGGATCACACAGCACAGAACTTCTTAAAATGCTAATTGGCACGAAGATCAGCTTTTATTTTATGTTATTTTATTTTTTGGGTTTTTTGAGAGAGGGTTTCTCTCTGTAGCTCTGGCTAACCTGGAATGCCCTCTGTAGACCAGGCTGGCCTCGAACTCGAGATCCACCTCCCTCTGCCACCCAGGAGCTGGGATTAAAGGGGTGTCACACCATACATGGCTCAAGACCAGCATTCATTCATTCATTCGCTCACTTATTTATATTTTATATGCACTAGTGTTTTGCCTGCATGTATGTCTGTGAGGGTGTTGAATCCTCTGGAACTGGTGTTCCAGACAGTTGTGAGCTGCCATGTGGGTACTGAGCATTCAACCTGGATCTAACCACTGAGCCATCTCAACAGCCCAAGTCCAGCATTTATTAAGTGCCAGCTGTGTGCTACTGGGTTTACAGACAGGATTTTGCTTTCGAGGGATTTATATACTGTAGTCCTGGTTATAACCAGGTAAGCCAATTTGATGTGGTCATTGAGAGTTCCATGTGTGTGGGTGCTGGTTTTGGGGGGTAGTGTTGTATGCATGCATGCAAAGGCCACAACTCCACCTCGGTTTCATTCTTCCGGTGCCATTCCCCCTGTTTGAAACAGGACCTTACTCTATAGTTTAGGCTGATCTGTAACTCACTGTGTAGCCCAGGCTGACCACAAACTCAAGGCAATCCTCCTACCTCAGCCTCCCCGAATGCTGAGATTACAGATGTGAACCATTTAAGCCTACACAGCACCTAGTACTTACCGGGTGTCTCTAAGTACTAACCAGGCCCACCCCAGCTTAGCTTCTGAGATAAGATGAGGCCAGACACATCCGAGGTGAGATACCTGTAGATCACCTTGTTTGAGTTTTGAGACAGGATCTCAGGATCTCACACTGGTTTGAACCCATCAAGTAGACCAGATTGACTGGTCAGAAAGCCCCATGGATTCTCCTGTGTCAGCCTCTCTAGTGCTGGGATTGCAAGCGTGTGCCACCATACCTGGCTGGTACACACACTGTGTGCGTGTGTGTGTGTGTGTGTGTGTATGAGAGAGAGAGAAAGAGAGAGACAGAGAGACAGAGACAGAGAGACAGACGCGTGTTTGCACCTTTGGCAGCACACAGCAATAACAGTCTAGAAAGGAGGCTCTCTATGCTTGGAGGGCCAGTGACTACTTGATCGTGCTGTATATGGAAGCCAGTCTCTTCTTCCATTGCTGTCTTCTGTACTGAGGCCGGTGTTTGCCTTGATCCCAGCCCTTACCTGGACTAGCCTTTAGCCAGCTTGCTCCCAGGATCTCCAGCTTACATGTCTCAGCTCTCACAGGAGAGCTGCCTCTGCTGCCCAGCGTTTATACAAGCACTGGACATCCAAACTCTGGTCATTACGCTTTGCCGAAAATGCTTTGTCCGCTAATAGCTCCTCAACCTCACTCCTAGCGCTTTCATGTGAGTGCTGGGAATTGAACTCAGGTCTTTGTGTTTGGAAGGCAAGCAATTTATCCACTGACCCATCTTGAGAGCCCTCCTTATAGAGATTCTTTTCCTGAAACCAGGATATTGAAATTCTACTGCCACTGTCTTGAGAAACAGGCTGCGTGGTGCATTTTTACAGTTTATGGAAGGCAGTCACTACCCTGTATCCCAGTGCAAAGAGACCAGAGTGGTCTACAAGGCGCATCTCACCAATAGCCTTGCCTCTGTAGCCAGGGCTGGCCTCAAATGCTTAATCCTCCTGTCTTAGCCTCCCAAGTGCTGGATTACAGGCGGATACTGCTAGGCTGGGTTGTAGGCTGGTCTGGAGTTAGCTCACCCCCACCCTTTCCCCACAGTGCTCTGCGCTCTCCAAGCTGAACACGGAGGTGGCCTGCGTGGCGGTACACAATGAGAGTGTCTTCGTGATGGGTACCGAGAAGGGAAGGATGTTCTTGAACACTCGGAAGGAACTACAGTCAGACTTCCTCAGGTTCTGCCGTGAGTACCCTGTATTCTCGATGACTAGGGCCGTGTTCTTCCTAAAGGACAAGGGTCCTGGCCCATTCCCGTTCCCCCTGCTTTGTCCAGTCTAAAGATACAAGGTTGTTCCACATGGAACCTGTTAAGACTCTCCAGCAACTGTCACTGAGCCTCATAACTACCCAACATCTGTGTGCCCATTTTCAGAGGGAAACACTGAGACCCAGCGCAGACACTCAATTCTACAATTCTACTCTATTTTTCAATGGTACTAGGATCAAACCTGTATCCTTATGACTATGAAGCAAGCGCACTGGTACTGAACTACACCCGCAGCTATTGCTCTACTTAGTTTTGATTTTTGTTCTCTTTTTGTTTTGCTTTGAAGTTATATTCTGTTTATATAGACAGGTTCGTGCTGTGGCATGAATACAGACATCAGGAGACTTGCTACAGTCAGTTTTCTGCCACTAGGAATTGAACTCAGGTCTTCAGGCTTGGCTGCAAGCTTCTTTCTCTGTTGAGCCATCTCGCTGACCCCTTGTTGTTTTAAGTCAGGTTCTCCTGTAGCCCAGGCTGGCCTTGAACTCCTGGTCCTCTTGGCTCCACTTTCCCATGAGGGAAAAGCACTCACCACACCACCTGTTCTGCTGTATTGGGTGCTGGGGCAGAACTCAGGACTTCGTGCATACTAGGCAGGCATTCTGTAAAGTGAGCCACATTCCCAGCCTCAACTCTACCTTCTGACTGAGAGTACATTTGAGGATAGGGACCAGCCACAGTTGTTCAGCTAAGATATTTAGCATGCCATATGAGTGACTCGTACTTGTAAAGTCACATTAGCCTTGTAGGGTGACATGTTGTTGTTGATTTTGGCCAGAAAGTGCTCAGTACACATGGGCTGTAGGTTGAACAGCTCTGAGTCAGACATAGAGTGCCTGCCGAGGGTCATCCAGTATGGTGGCTCTCAGACATACAGTACCTGCCTAGAATCGCTCAGTATGGTGGCCCAGCAGTAGAGGGCTTTACTTAGCATTCCCGAAGCCCTAGGTTCCATCCCCAAAACTGAACAGCACTTCATGCTTGGCTATTGGCCTGAAACCTCATTCCCTTTCCCAGCGGGTCACAAAAATGTCACCCACAGTGTGCAGAGTGAGAAACTGAGTCACAATGGGCATATTATCCTAACTCAGAGACTCAGTGCAACATTGAAGGTGTGTGTATTAGTCAGGGTTCCTAGAGGAACAGGATTTATAGGGAAAAAATTATTACATATATATGTCTGCAATATACATTTTTTATATATATGTAATAATTTTTTTTTTTTAGGTTTATTAGAGTGGCTTACAGGTTGTGATCCAGCTAGTTCAACAAATGGCTGTCCACCAACAGACGGTCCAAGAATCCAGTAGTTGTTCGTTTCATGAGGCTGGAGGTCTCAGTTGGTTTTCAGTATACACTGGAATCCGGAAGAAGTAGGCTCTAATACCGGTGAAGGAGTGGCTTGCTAGCAAGCCTGGGAGGGAGCAAGCAGGCAAAGAGCCAGCTAGATTTCTTCTTCCGTGTCCTTTATATTGGCTGCCAACTGAAGGTGTGGTGCAGATTAAAGGCCGGCTCTGCCCACCTCAAAAGATGTGGATTAAAGGTTTATCTTTCCACCTCAAAGATTAGAAGTGGCGAGTCTTCCCACTTCAAATGATTTAATTAAGAAAAAAAATCCCTCAGGCTGGAGAGATGGCTCATCGGTTAAGAGCACTGACAGCTCTTCCAGAGGTCCTGAGTTCAATTCCCAGCAACCACACAGTGGCTCACAACCATCTGTACTGGGATCCAATGCCCTACTTCTGTTTTTTTTGTTTGTTTTTTGTTTTTGTTTGTTTTGTTTTTGTTTTTGTTTTTGAGACAGGGTTTCTCTGTGTAGTTCTGGCTGTCCTGGAACTCAATCAGTAGACCAGGCTGGCCTCGAACTCAGAAATCCACCTGCCTCTGCCTCCCAAATGCTGGGATTAAGGGCGTGCACCACCCCTGCCTGGCTTGATGGCCTACTTCTGGTGTGTGTCTGAGGACAGCCATGATGTACTCACATACATAAAATAAATAAATATGTCTTTAAAAAAAAGAAAGAACCACCTTCTTCACAGGTGTGCCTTGTCATGTGGGTTTTAGTTAATTCCAGATTTACTCAGTTTGACAACTGTCTTAGTTGGGGTTTCTGTTGCTGTGTGAAGACACACCATGACCAAAGCAATTCTTATACAAGAAAACACTGAATTCGGCTGGCTCGCAGGTTCAGAGGTTCAGTCCATTATCATCACGGCACACAGACGTGGTGCTGGAGAAGTAGCTGAAAGTTCTAAATCTTGATCCGCAGGCAGCAGGAAAAGAGAGTCTGGGCTTAATGTGGGCTTTTGAAACCTTGAAGTCCACCCCTACTGACACAGTGACACACTTCCTCCCACAAGGCCACACCTCCTGATCATTTCAAGTAGTGCCACTCCCTAGCGATGAGCAAGCATTCAAATATAAGAGCATATGGGTATCATTCTTATTCAAACCACCCCAACAAACAGGAAAAGCCCCCACAGTGTGCGTAGTCCAAAGTCAGGACTCCAGTTCTCAGATCCTTGCTTCTTCAAAGTCAAGGAGATAGATCTTGGGGTGGGGTTGGGGGGATGCCAGGGGTCCCCATGGAACGCCCAGGGACTAGCCATTGATGGTTTTATTGGTAGTTTTCATGGTTTCCTGAGCCTTATCCCTAGGATTAGCCATCCCAGGCACTGCAAGTATAGTTAGTGGGTATGTAGGTGGATCATATAGATGCTTCCCAGACTGTAGTCTCTAAGACTAGGCTCTGGTAGTAGGTGTGGCAGGGTCCTGTAGCCCTCCCTCCCCCTACCAAGCCTCCCGGGGAACAGTGTACCTTGTTTTCCACAGCCAAAAAGTCACTATTTACAGCACTCAGAATTTAGATATTTTATTTAAGGCTTGGAAGGTTTCCAAGAAGAGCTAGCTCCAAGCTGGAAGGGGCCACTAGGCCCTTTCATCCTGCTCATCCCGTTCCCTGTTCTGATGTAGCTTCAATAACGCCTGTAATCCTAAACTTGGGAAGTAGAGGCAAGGCCAGCCCCTGTCTACATAGACTCTGTCTCAAAAAAAAAAAAAAACACAAAAAACCAATATTTCATAAGGACATGCTAACATCTCCCCCAACTGGGGGTTGAGGGTACCCTGGGAAACTAGGAGGTGTGGGTAGGATTTATTTTGGCTGATGATTCCTGATTGCAGTCTTACTGTTTCAGAGAAGTTCTGGCAACTAGTCACATCACATCCAGAGTCAAGAGCAGGGAGACTGTTTGCTCTTATGTTTCATATAGCTTAGAATCTCATTTCCTAGGGAATGGTGCTGCCCATGATGGGCTGGGTAGGTTAACCATTAAGACAATGCCCCACTTATATGCCCATAGGCCAATTGATGTAGAACAGTGGTTCTCAACCTTCCTAAAGCTGAGACCCTATAATAGTTCCAGATGCTGTGGTGACCCCCAGCCATAAAATTACTTTGCTGCTCCATAACTGTCATTTTGCCATTGTTGTGAATAATAAATATCTGTGTTTTCTGATGGTCTTAGGGCAACCCCTGTGAACCCATTCACCCATCCTCAAAGGGAGGGAAGGGTCGAGACCCACCGGTTGAGAAACACTGATGTGGATAATTCATTGGAGAGTGACCTTTTGAGATTGTGGCAAATTCACATTTAAAGCTGACTATTATAAGTGCTCAGATGTGCACCTGCTTGACACCAACCTAAGGCCCATGTGCTCTTGTCGCACAGGGGGACCCCTATGGAACGATCCAGAAGCAGGACACCCTAAAAAGGTGCTGCGCTGTGAAGGTGGTGGCCGGAGCATCCCGCGGTCCTCTCTGGAGCAGTGCTCGGATGTGTACCTGCTGCAGAAGATGGTAGAGGAAGTGTTTGATGTTCTTTATAGTAAGATCCTTCCTCATTCCATTCCGGAAACGGGTGGGTGGGAGACCAGCCTACCCACACCTGCCTTGTCTACTTCAGTCCCATCCAGCTCTGCCCACCCACCTTACCCAAGCCCCACCCATCAGCCCGGCCACCCAAACCTTACCCACCTCATTCACCACACTACACTCTGCTTAGCTCCACCCACCTCACCTCAACCAAACTCTACCCTGTTTAGCCCCACCCACCGGAGCCTAACCACACTCTACCCTGTTTAGCTCCACCCACCTCATCCTAATCACATTCTACCCTGCTTAGCCCAACCTACTTTAGTTCTGCTTGGCCCCACCCACCTCAGCCCTGCCCTCATCCTGCCCAACTCAATCCATCCTGCCTATCCCTGCCCACTGGTGTCAGCCCCTCCTCCTTGCCAGCCCCACCATGTCTAGCCTTGCCCCGTGAGAGCATCCCAGGCCCTTCTAGCGTAACCACACCCATCTTGACCCAGCCTCATCCAGCCACCCTTCCATCCTACCCTCACCTGCTCTGCCGGTCTCAGTCCAGCCCGAACTGATGTAGCTCCTCCTACCCCAGCTCTGCCCTGCCCACCTCTGCTCAGCGCCTATTCATCCACCTCGGCCCAGGCCTTCCCTGCCAAAGCCAATTTAGCCCCACCTGCCTCTCCCCAGCTCCAGCCAAATCAGCCTATTCCTGTCTGGCCATGCCCTACCTAGCTCAACCCCGCAGCCTCGCCCACCTCAGCCCCGCACTGCCACGGCAGTCCGCACCCAGCGTAGCCCCACCCACCTGCCCAGTTGTGTGCAGCTGTGCCTCATCCAGCCACACCCCACAATGCTTAGCCCCACCTGCCCACCCCTCCCACCCTCACTGCCATTCCCCTCCGCTGTGTCCCACCCACCTTAGTCCAACCAGCCTCAGCCCAGCCATAGTTCTAATCCACCTCCTTGCTCTGCTCGTCCCAACCCAGCCCTGCCTAGCCTTGCTGTACCCACTTTAGCCCTGCCCTGCCCAGTGCAGTCCAGTCTACACCGATCCACTATCCTTCAGCTATGCCCTGCGGCATTCAGCCTACCCAAGCCCAGCTTACCCCTGCCCTACCCAGGTCTGCCCGCCCTTCCCCCACCCAGCCCAAGCCTAACCCTACTCACTTCTGCCCAGCTCCTGCACTGTGGGTACCCCTTACCCCCCAAGCCAAACAAGAACCCCAAGACATGGCTTTCCCTGTTGTATCCCTTTTCCAGGCCCCAACTCCCCGGCATAAGTGTCCCTATCTAGTTACCTGTCTTTGACAGCCAGCCACATCTTACTATCTCCTATATGCTGCCTCCTGGTTATTCTGGAACCATCCCTATCTTCCCAAAAGATAAGCCTGGGGTTAAAGTTGAGCCTGGTGTATCACCTGTGAAGTTCGGTCTACCAGCCCGGCCTCTGGGCCTTCCTGTCTCCTCCCTCCAGCCCTCAGATGTACACAGTGGGGCTCTATCTACAGGCTGGTGTCGTTCATTCTATAGCGTGTGTGTCCGCAGAAACGAGGGACCCAGAGCCCCTCTCCAAAGGGGAGTCACCTCACATTGCCTGGCTCCCGATGTGCCTAGCCAAGCCCCAGCCAGTACTGAGCCTCACTGTTCACTCTCTGACAGGTGAGGCTATGGGCAGGGCCACCGTGGTACCTTTGCCCTATGAGAGGCTGCTCAGGGAGCCGGGGCTACTGGCGGTGCAGGGGCTGCCCGAGGGCCTGGCCTTCCGGAGGCCAGCAGAGTATGACCCCAAGGCACTCATGGCCATTTTGGAGCACAGTCACCGAATTCGGTTTAAGCTCAGGAGGTGAGTAAGCCCTGTCCTGGTTTCATTTCCTTTTGCTGTGTTAAAAATACCATGACAAAAGCCCATTAAGGGAGAAAAGGTTTATTTGGCTCACAGTCCTAGGTTACAATCCATCACTGTAGGGAGGTCAAGTCAACAGGAATTTGAAACAGCTGCACACATTACAAGTAGCCAACAGCAATTGAATTCAGGCATGTATACCCGTCCTCAGCTTGCTTTCTCTATTCTTAGGCAATTCAGAATCCCTAGCCTAGGGAATCATGACACCCACAGTGGGCTGGGCTTCCCCATCTTACTGTAACCAAGACAGTCTTCCTACAGACATAACCACAGGCTAACCTAATATAAATCTCTCTCTGAGACTCTCTTCTCGTGTGATTTTAGCTAATATTAAGTTGACAATTGAAACGTGGGGTATGGTGGTGCGTGCCTTCACCTCAGCTCTTCGGAAGGAGAGGCAGGTAGAACTCTGAGTTTGAGGCCACCCTGGCAGATTCCAGGCCAGCAAGAGCTATGTAGTGAGACTGTCTCTCAAAAAACAAAAGATGGACAAACCTGTCTCACTTCATAGCCAGCCAGAGGGCAGAAAGCTGGAGACACCCTGAGGGGACCCTTTTGGGAAAGCATTGGGTCTAATGAAGGAAATAAGGATACAGCCCAGTCATGCGCTGTGATCTGAGTCAGAGGCTGACTAAAATTTTTCCAAGGGATCAATGTGTCAGTGCCCAGAAGAATTCTGGCTTAGGGGTTGAGTCACACATAAGGGTTTGTAGGGTCAGGGACACATGATGTATAGAATTGAGATTATCACACAAGATTGCATGTCTATAATCCCAGCACTTTGGGGAAGTAGAGGTAAGGAGACCAGGACTTCAGGGTCATCTGCAATTGCATAGTTAGGGTTTCATTGCTGTGAAGAGACACCAAGACCAAGGCAATTCTTAAAAAGGACAACAGGTTCAGAGGTTCAGTCCATTATCATCATGTTGAGAAACATGGCAATATCCAGGCAGTCATGGTGTTCTAGAAGGAACTGAGTGTTCTACATGTTGATTCCAAAGCATCCAGAAGGAGACTCTCTTCTGCACTGGGCAGAGCTTGACCGCTAGGACACCTCAGAGTCCACCTACATAAGAACACACTTCCTCCAACAAGGCCGTACCTTCTTCTAGTGCCTTCTTTTCCCATGCGTCACCACATTCCACTCCCTGACTCCATAGGCTTGTTCTAACATGTAAGTCCATGGGGGCCATACCAAGCCACAGCATAATATAAAATGCATTTACTCCAACTTCAAAAGTTCCCATAGTCTATCACAATCTCAACAATGTTTAAAAGTTCAAAGTCTCTTCTGAGATTCTTGCAATCCCCTATAAAAATCCTCTGTAATCCCCTATAAAATCCAAATCAAAAAGCGGATCACATACTTCCAGAATCACAAGATGTACATTACCTTTCCAAAATACCATAGTGAAATACTGGACCAAAGCAAGTCAGGAAATTGTCTGGGCAAAGTCCAAACTCTGCACCTCCATGTCTGATGTCAAAGCGTTCTTCAGATCTCCAACCCCTTTCATCTTTGTTGACTGCAACAAACTGCTTTCGCTTGGGCTGGTTCCACTGTTAGGAGCTTTGCTCGGCAAGTATCTCACGACTCTGGCATCTCTAACATCGTAAGGTATCCAAGGCAACTTCAACTTTACAGCTTCTTGTTCCAGTGTCTGGGATGCACACATGATCTTCTGGGCTCCTCCAAAGGGCTGGTGTCACTTCTCCAGCTCTGCCCTCTGTGGCACTGTGGGCTCTGGTTGATCCACTCCATTGTGGTTGCTATTCTTGGTGGTTACCCTATGGTACTGGGATTCCCAAGGTGTGTGTGTGGGGGGGTCTTCCATTGCAAAAGGCTTCACCAAGTCTCAACTACTTTGTGTGACTCCTCCAGTCCTGGGCAGTCAATTGCATCTGAGGCTGTACCTTCACCAATGGCTTCTCCTGGCTTCTCACAGTGCCAAGCCTCAGGTGCTCTCCATGACCCCTTCATGCCTTCAAAACCAGTACCCTCTGCTGACTCTTACACATTACCAAGTACAGCTACAGCATGAGGTCCAACCTTGGCTATCTCTGGAACTTTGTACGCTCGGAAAATACTTCCCAGAAGATTTCAACTCAGTGATGCTGGTTTCTTCTTAATCACCACTAATTTCTTGGCTCCAGCTAACCAGCATCAATTGTCCCAGTAGTCCCTTCTGTTCTGGACTCTAAAGCCAGAGTCACATGGCTGAAGCTGCCGAGTTCTGCTGCTTGTTGAGGCTGGAACATGATCTTCTTGTTCTATTGCATCATCACCAGCTTTCTGGTTTCCAACTTCTTGTCTGCCTAAGCTTGGCTGTCCTGGAACTTGCTCTGTAGACTGACCTTGAACTCCTAGATCTGCATGACCCTGTCTCAGTGCTAGGATTAAAGGCGTGTCCACCATGCTTTTCTTTACCTTTTCATAAGATCTTTATAAGTTCTGGATTATAGTTCATTCCAAATATAGTCACATTGACAACTGAGAATAGCAATCACAATCCATCCCTTGTCAATTTGATGCATAATCGTATCTCTAAATGAAAACAATAACCAGGTCATAATAATAGCTAGCATGATATAACTATCCCTTGCTCAACTGCAAAGGCATAATAAGCTTAGCTGGGTGGGATCCTGTCACCACTCCCTAATTCCACTAATGTCCTTGAACACAGGAGTTAGCTACATTCCACAGCCCGGCACCCCTTTACTCTTTAAACCAAACATCTTGTATTTTTCCTTTCTAACCTTGCTATGCTTAATTTAAAACTGTTCCTCGGAAGAGTGAACCATAGGACAAAGTGTAAACTAGGCATTTTAGAGATTACCTTCGTCAGTGCCGTTAATCTGAATCTCTTCACGTTAGCCTCAGGCAGACTGTTCAGACCAGGACAAAAAGTGGCTCCATTCTTTATCAGATTGTCACCAGAAAAGTCTCTAGGCCACACACTAAAGTTCTCCTCTTCTGAAACCTCTTGAGCCAGTCCCACACTGTTCAAACTACCCTCAGCACCGCTGTCTTCCAAGTTTCTGCTGGGTTGGCCCATTAAGCCCCACTTAAAACATTCCACAGCTTTCATAATCCAAAGTCCCCACATCCACATTCCTCCAAACAAAAACATGGTCAGGCCCATCACAGCAAAACCCTAGTCCCTGGTACCAGCTTCTGTCTTAGGGTTTCATTGCTATGAAGAAACATCATGACCAAGGAGACTCTTATAAAGGACATTTAATTGGGGCTGGCTTACAGTTTCAGAGGTTCAGTTCATTATCATCATGGTGGGAAGCATGGCAGCATGCAGGTAGACATGGTGTTCCAGAAAGAACTGTGTGTTCTACATCTCCATCCAGCCAGAAGGAAATCTCTTCCATACTGCGTGGAGCTTGAGCACTAGGAGAACTTAAAGTCCACCCCCCACAGTGACACACTTCCTCCAACAAGGCCACACCTATTCCACAAGGCCACACCTCCTAGTAGTGCTGCTTCCCATGGGCCAAGCATATTCAAACCACCACAGTGAGTTTGAGGCTACCTTGCTTAAATGAGAACCTGTCTCAAATACATAAATTAATTGTAAGAGTCTTGAGTTGGGAGAGTCAAATGGCCTGGATGAGATTCCTAAGAGGCTGATAGGGGGTGAGGCTGATGGGAGGTGAGGTCCAGGCTGGGCCGAGGTGGATACCATAGAACCAGCATAGCCAGGGACTTCATCTTCCCCAGCAAGGCATAAGCAGGAGGGACAGAAGGGATGTAAAGGAGCCAGGAGGAGGATAGGATTGGTGGCTTGAAGCACTGAGGCAGGCTTGGTGCAGGCCTGGGTCTTCCAGTGGTTGACACCTGGTATCAGGTGCATTATACCCACAAGGTGGGGTCTGGCTTCCATCCTACCCCACTGGAAAATCTGTGTAGCCCAGGTCTCTTATATTCTATAGAGTGTTACTTGGTCTGTGATGGCAGAGATTTGCAGGCGAGAGTAGGTATTCAAAGAAGTCTCCATTTCTTCTCTTTCACGCAGGCCTCCTGATGACGGTGGGCAGGACACAAAGGCACTGGTGGAGATGAACGGTATCTCTCTGCTACCCAAGGCGTCCCGAGATTGTGGTCTGCATGGCCAGGCCTCCAAGGTCGCTCCCCAAGACCTGACCCCCACCGCCACCCCATCCTCCATGGCCAACTTCCTGTACAGCACTTCGATGCCCAACCACACCATCCGGGAACTCAAGCAGGAGGTGCCAACCTGCCCGTTGACCCCCAGCGACCTGGGCTTGGGCTGGCCTGTGCCTGAGCCCCATGCCCCCAGCACCCAAGATTTCTCTGATTGCTGTGGTAATGCTGTAGTGGGAACCTACATGTCTCTCTGGGTGGTTACCTCTAAGGAGGAGGTCTTTCTGGGCAAGGTTGGGGTTTGGCCAGTTGCATTCTATGGGGACTCAGTTAAGCTTGGGCCTTCATAGACCTTGCATAGGATCAAGAGGCATCTAAAGAGGCCCCATGAGGAGGCTGTCGAGATTATAAGTAAACTAATCAAGGATGATGAGGTGGTTCAGCAGGCAATTTGCCAACCACCTTGACGTCCTGAGTTCAATCTCTGCGGCCCATGCGGTAGAAGAAAATCAAATCTCACAACTTGTCCTCTGACCTCCACACATGCACCAGGTGTGTCCATGCCTGTGAGTGCACAGAACAGCTGGGTATGAAGATGTTGTCTCTGTCCTGGCTGTGTATGACAGCACAAGTCTCTCACTGAGCCTCAGTTTCCACATCTGTAAAATGGAGATGCTTATATGAGCCCACATATCCCTTATCTAAGATACTTGGGATCAAGATTCCTCAAGTAGAGATTTCAGATTTGGTTGTTAGGGGACGTGGCTCAGTTGATCGAGGGTTTGCTTATCTAAAGGCATTTGTCTCCAAGCCTGATGACCTCAGATCAATTCCTGGGACCATATATAGAAGGAGAGGAACTCCCACAAGTTGTCCTCTGATCTTTAAAAGTAGACAAATAAGTGTAATTAAAAGGATGAGATTCTACTGTCATGGCGCCCGCCTCTGGATATCCAGTTCTGACATAGAGAGCAGCTAAGAGCCGTAGTTAGGGATTGGGCCTGGAGCCTCATGATCATGGGGCTCAGTTCTAATTTCTCTCAAGTATGTGGGGCCCCTCCAAAATGTATGCCTCTCTTTCCCCCTTGTTTAGGACAGACGCCTGCAGGGCCTGCTGGGCCTCTCATCCAGAATGTCCATGCTTCCAAGCGCATCCTCTTTTCTATCGTCCATGATAAGTCAGGTAGGCTGGCACCCTTGACGAGGACCTGGTCAGAGTGGTGTTCCGCGGTGAAAACGGGTCCCTGCTGAGAGAGGGGAAGGACGGTTTGTCCGTTCAAGGGTGACACTCATGGGCATCACAAATGTCCCCAAACAGCAGCTTGAAACAAGAGTGTGTCACTACACAGTTTCTGCACCTGTGTGTGTTCGTTTTCCCATTGCTGTCTGCCAGAGCGTACAGGATGGTACCACCCACCGTTGGCGTGGGTCTCCTCACTTCTTTGCACCCTATCTAGAAATTCCCTCACAGACACACCTAGAGGTTGGTTTCCATGATAGTTCTGAGTCCTGTCAGGTTGATGAGCAGGACTGATAATGACAGCAGATGAGGAAGTCGTAGGCATGTTGTCAGCCGGGCTGAAGATGGAGAGCCAATGTGTTAGGTCACTCTTGCAGCACCTAGGCTAGCCTCTCTATCGGGTCAGCTGACCAGGCTCGCCACAAGACAGCTGGTGTTCTCAGAGTTAGTGATCCACCGTTGAGGAAGGAGGAAGCCTGTATTTTTCATGACCTCACTTCAGAAATGACTGTCACAGCTGCTCCGTTTTATCCATAGAAATCCAGAATATTCTAGCCAGTTCTCAGGGGTGGGGGTGAGGGTAAGAATAAGATTCCTCCTCGTGAGAGAAGAAACATCAAACAAGATAAGTGTGTGCCTTTAGTCCAGCATCCAGGAAGGAGAGGCAGGAGGATTTCTATGAGTTCCAGGCCAGTCTGTGTTAGTAACAGGGCAGCCAGAGCTACACAGTGAGACTCTATCTCAAAAATAAAAAAGGGAACAGGGAACCATGTATGGAGCTTAGGCAGGAAGTTCTTGTTTGAGGCCAACCTGGACTATATAGTAAGGCCCTGACACAAAGGAAAAGAAAACTGTGTTTAGGGGCTGGGGATGTGGTTAAACAGTCGTGTACTGTTTAAGAGTCCCGCAGTGTGGGGCTGGGAATGAGCCTCAGCACTAGAGCCTCTGCCAGAATTTCTCAATGAGGGGCTGGGAGCTTGGCTCAACAATAAGCCACTTACCTACCATGTACGGGGTCCTTAGCTTCTTCCACTAGCACCTGCCTAATTTGATAGACATGGTGACACAGACCTGTCATCCCAGCACTCAGGAGGCTGAGGCAGGAGGATTTCAAGTTCCAGATTAGCCTTGTCTATAGAGTAAGCCCCTCCTTTCTCAAGAAATATGACTTTCCCGGGCTTTTGTCTGCCTGAGGTGGGTTGGTCTGGGGAGAGATAGGTCAACTCCATAGCTCTTTGGGAGATTTAGAAGGGGGGACAGAGGGGATACTGTCTGAGCATCCTAAATTTCATAGGGGCTGAGGTGACAGTACATAGGAGGCCTGGGTGCTTTAGAGTGGCACCCTAGGCTCTTGGAGGGAGGGTAGCAGGAGCTGGGGACTGGGTGGGACAGGAGGCAGCCCCCAGTTTAGGGACCAGTCCTCACTGGACCTTCTGTGTTTTGATAGAGAAGTGGGATCCGTTCATCAAGGAAATGGAAGACATCAACACCCTGCGGGAGTGCGTGCAGATTCTGTTTAACAGCAGATACGGTGAGTGGGCGGCGCGGCCCACCGGGTGAGCATCTCATTATGTGTGGCAGTCGCTCATGTTCCCCGACACAACAGCGTGAGCCATATGCTGGCGCCCGCGCAGCGTCAGTACGGATGGCATCCGGCGTGGGCTCTCCCCTGTCTGGGGAGAGGGTGGTTGTGTCAATATTTCCTTCGCAGATTCTCTGTGGGGGTGGAATGATGGCAGATCCCAGACCTTGAGTCACCTATGGGGAGATGGGCAGGGGTACATATTGTTCTCTGTTGGCTTGGAGTGTTCCCATAACCCCGAATTGTTCTCTGCTGTTTCTGTTCTGTGTGTGTGTGTGTGTGTGTGTGTGTGTGTGTGTGTAGTTGTGCATAAGTATGCAGGCATACGTGCATGTGTGTTGAGGCCAGAGGAGACCCCCAGGCATCATTTTTTAAAAGCATCATCTACTTTTTGTGTGTGTGTTGATGCCAAGACAGAGTCTGAGGCCAGTGTTGACATCGCCGTGTTGATGAGGCTGATGTTCAACTTGTGATCCTCCTGCCTCTACCTGAGTGCTGGGACGACAGGCATGCACCACCACATCCAGTTTTACATGGTGCTGGAGATAGAATACGGGGATACATTAAAAGTTCTAAACCAGTGAGACAGCCCTGTCGGGGGGGGGGAAAAAGTGGTTGTAGCTGGAGAGATGGCTTAGCTGTTAAGAGCACTGGCTGCACTTCCAGAGGTCTTGGGTTCAATTCCCAGCAGCCATAGGTGGCTCACAACCATCCGTCATGGAATCTGATTCCCTCTTCTGTATATGACAGACGGCAACTATATATTAATACATACACACACATATTAAAGTTATTATATAAACATATATATTTGTGTGTGTGTGTGTGTGTGTGTGTGTGTGTGTGTGTGCCACAGTAGAGGTCAGAACATAGCTTGTAGGAGTCAGCTCTCTTTCCACTTTGAGGGTTCCAGATACCAAGCATGGACTGACAGACAAGCCTGGCACTTTTAGCCCCTGAACTAGTCTTAGGTTCCTGATGCTATGATTAAAAAACACCATGACCAAAATCACCTTGGGGAGGAAAGGGTTTATTTTTATTTCAGCTTACACCTCTCAGTCACCCTCTGTCACTGAAGAAAGGCAGGGCAGGAACTGAAGCAGAAGCCATGGAGGTGCACTGTTTAGTGGCTTGTTCTCATGGCTTGCCCAGCTTGCTTTCTTACAGCACCCAGAGCTGCCAACCCGGGTGTGACACTGCCCGGCCTGAGGTGGGCCCTCCCCACATCAGTCATCAGTGGAGAAAATGCACTATGGGCTCCTTAAGCCAGTGGGGGCGCTTTCTAATTGAAGTTCTCTTCCCAGGTGACTCCAGCTTGATAAAGCTAGCCAGTGCAGCCAGCCATCTTGCTGGAAGTCCCCTGTAAAAGTATCTTTTACTCACCTAATGTAACCATCATCTCAGAGGCTTCCTGCCTCCGTCTGCTAACCTAGATCTAGTCCTGGAAGCCTTAGCCTCCGTACAATCTTATCTAGGCCTAGAATGGTTTCAGCCTCTGAGACTGACTGCTGAATAAACTCACCCTTTTCTAGTTCTTTCTGAACTCTGGCTGCCTGATTCAACTCAGCTGTTCTTTCTCAAAACTCCTCTCTAAGCTGACTGATTCAAACTGGCTTCTGGCTGAGTTGCTCTGCTTGGCCTCATGCTACCTTTGACAATGTTCTAATCTTGTGGCTCCTTCTTATGCTCTAGCTCATTCTGTCTTCACCTGTGTCTAGCTTGTTCTCTCTCTGCAACCTGTCCCGGTAAAACTGCCCTCTCTTCTATCCCCTCTTAGGTAGCCTCTCTTTCCTGTCTCTGTTCTCCTAAGAATTGGGCGGATCCTATTCCGTCAAATCTTTCCCTGATTCATCACTTTGTCTGCCACTCCATTAGACATCACTTTCAAACGAGGGTGCCTCCTTCTGCAAGCTAACCTTACCTTCATTGTTTGGGGTTGAAGGTGTGGCTAAGGGCGTGTCTGTATTCCACCCAGAGGGATTAAAGGTGTGCACTAAGGCCGAGCCTCAGCTTTTCCAGTAAACAACACAGTCTCAGGATTCACAGCGTGATCAAATATCCTGCAACAGTCCCCACTCCTTTGTCCTGATCCTTTGAGACAGGGTCTCTTACTGGCTTGTAACTCACTAAGTAGGTTAGTGGGGCTGGCCGATGAGCCTGGGGCTCCATCTGTCTCCATATTGCCAGTGTTGGAGTTACAAGTCACCTCTCCTGGCTATTGTTTTGTTTCTCTGTGTAGCCCTGACTGTCCTGGAACTCACCCTGTAGGCCAGGCTACTGAAGTCAAGAGATCCTCCTGCCTCTGCCTCTCGAGTGCTGGGATTAAAGGCGTGAGCCCGCACTGCTGGCCTCTCCTGGCTTTTTTTGCAGTGATCCTGACATCTAAGTTGGATCTGTATGTTAGACACTGAATTCAAAAGTACGAGACACTTTAAAACTGAGCTAAGACTTTTAAAGTGTGTGTGTGTGTGTGATCACATGTAGCAGGCAGCAATCATGGCAGTCAGTCCGATTCCAGAGATACAATAAAGCTAAAGGTGTGACTACATAGAAATTCCTTTACAAAGTACATGTGACCCCAAGGGTGGGTTCTGTATAGCTAAGAGGCCTAGAATCTAGTGTGGCCTCTGACCGATAGCATAGACGCCAGCAGGCCATAAAGTACATGTGACACCTCCCCTAAAGATGGGTAACTGTCCCAGGGAGGGAAGAGTCTGAGATAATTATTCTCAGGGATCTGGTCTGCCTCTGTAGACAATTTTACCCAGTCATTGACAAAATCCACTCCCTGCCTTCTGGGTGGGAAACCAGGTATTTTTATCTCCTCCACTAAGAAGAGGCCTCCGTGTGTTTACATTCCTGGTTTCCCTAGTGATCAGTGGGCATGAAGACGCCTGTGTCCTCAACAGATATGTACAGCGGTGTGTGCTTGTATACAGTGCATGTAGCTGTGGGCATTGATGTGCAAGATCATACAGTGAGGGACCCCTGTGTGCAAGTGCGCACAACTGTGAGAACTTGCATATAGCCTACAGCAGGTGGCATGAGGGTCCAGGAGTCTACAGAGCTTGGCGAGGATGCAAAGATGGCTTCCAGAAGGCTGAGGTCTCAGGCTAGAGAGTCAGGTGCTCTCCTGAGATGGTGCCCTTGCTGAGTGGGCTGGAACTGGTGGCTTGGGCCTCCTGTGTAGGGTCTGGGGTGACCTAGTTGGCTATCTGTACAGGAGTCTGCTAACATAATCAGGTGAACCTCCTGGGCTGTAAGGAGGTGGTGTGGAGAAGCTCTAGGCATGTGCAAGAGAAGGAAGCCTGGGTCAGAGCTGACATCTGCTGGGCTTCAGCTCCAGCCCATGGTGCTATCTTTCTGGCTACTCTGTATGCTTGTGACAGGCCAGTGACAGGATATGGTACATATGGTGATATGGTGGAGAAAGAGAGAGAGAGAGACAGAGAGAGAGAGACAGAGAGAGAGAGAGAGAGAGAGAGAGAGAGAGAGAGAGAGGCACCAGGCAGGCATGCTCGCACACACTTGGAACCCCACCATTTCTAGAGGCTGAGGATTAAGATGTCCAGGCCTGCCTGGGCTATAAAAGAAGACCCTGTCAGGAAAGCTAAAAGAGGTTGGGACATGGCTCTCTTAGTACAGCGCTTGCTTGGCATGCATGAAACCCTGGGTTCCATCCCCAGCATCATATGAACCAGGCATGGTGGAGCGTGCCTGTGATCCCAGCTCTTGAGAGGATCCTGAATCCTAAGAACACAGCCCCCCCCCCCAATCAAAACAAAAAGTTTCTTGAGGCTTTCCCTACATGGCCAGGAGTTTACATAAATGTCACAGAACGAGATTGCCCAAATCGAAGGCAGGGAGGGTAGCTCCCCAGACAGGAGGTGGGGGTGGGGGAGAAATGACTTGACAGCTGCTGAGATTACCAGGGTTTAATTTGACAACGAGCTAAGTGTGACTTCACAGTGTAGAGCTGGCTGCCAATGCTGCCAACAGACAGACCTGGGACACATCAGAAGGAAAACAGTGAGCGATTCCTGAAACAGCCTGGACTGTGATGTGCACAGCCCTGACTTGCCCAGTGAGTGGCTGAAGGGCAGCTCTGGGCTACAACACACAGCGCTGAGGAGACCACAAAAAGCCTCAAGCAAGGACTAGCTTGCCCAAAGAAAGCAAGCAATATTCTGAGCTTGGTGTGATGGGATGCAAATATGGGGATAGAACAGGACCCTGTCTTGGATGTACAGGAGAGGCAGCAAGATGGCTCTATTGGGAAGGGTGCTTGTGGCCAAGCCTTATCCCCTGGAACCCACATGATGGAAGGAGAGAACCGACTCCTGCCCGTTGTCCTCTGACCTCTTCACTCAGGCTGTGGCCCTTAGCAATGACTCTCAATAAACAAATAGTAAACTCTTTAAAAAATGTTTGAAAAAGGATGCTGGGCCAGGCTGTGGTGGCATATACCTTTAAACCCAGCACTTAGGAGGCAGGGGGATCTCTAAGTCTGAAGCCAGCCTTGTATACAGAGTAATTTCCTGGATACCCAGGACTATACAGAGAGACCCTGTATGTAGGTGGTGGTAGTGGAGAGGGACAGTGGATGAGGTGGCACTGGTCTTTAATGCCTGTACTTGGGAAGCAAGACAGATCTCTGAATTTGAGACTAACCTGGTCTACATAGTGAGTTCTGAGTCAGTCAGCCAGGGCTGTACAGTAAGAGTGTCTATAAAAAACTAAAAAGAAGAGGGAATGTGACATGGTTGTTTCTGTTACTGCACAAACAACACAACACCATATCCTGTGACTTGTCCCGTGCACTCACCCTTGTTCTTGCCCTTCCAGCGGAAGCCCTGGGCCTGGACCACATGGTCCCTGTGCCCTATAGGAAGATTGCCTGTGACCCCGAGGCTGTGGAAATTGTGGGTATCCCAGACAAGATCCCCTTCAAGCGGCCCTGTACTTACGGAGTGCCCAAGCTGAAGAGGATTCTGGAGGAGCGACACAGCATTCACTTTATTATCAAGAGGTGTGGACTGGCTCTGTTCTATGACAGAAGAGCTGCCTAGAATCCCCCAGTGAGGGGCTGGGGGCATGGCTCAGTGGTGGAGAACTTGCCTAGCATACAAGGAAGCACTGGATTTTTCATCCTCAGAACAAAAACAAAAAGAGGAACAGATGATTTTAGAACTCAGGACTCTGCTTTGTGACCCTAAGGCCATGAAGTGTGCCTTCCAGACTGGGCACCTTATGAGGGCATTTGGCTTTTTTTCCCCTGCTGAAAATGATATGAAACCCAGCCTAGTCTGACTGTACCTCCCCCAGCTCTGTACTTCCTAAAGAATGGTCGCCTTGTTAATTCTGCAGCTGCTAGGTCAGTGGGTGGGGCTGAGAGGGGAAGCAGGGCCCCCAGACAGGAAGCTAGTTCCCACCAGCATTGCTCTCTCGCTGCTTTTGGCCTTGTGGTATCCAGATGTGTGTGAGTGCCCCGAGCTCCAAGAATAGCAGGGAACCCTTGGTCTCTCGGAGGAAGAACAGGAAGTCCCGTTCAGACTTCATGCCCTGAGCTTAATCTAGTCACCCAAAACTTAGTCTACCCTTACTGGCTTTTTTTGGTTTCCTTTTATTTAATTTTTAATGTGTTTGTTTGTTTGTTTGTTTGTTTGTTTGTTTGTTTTGGAGACAAGGTTTCGCTGTGTAGTTCTGGCTGTCCTGGAACTAAGTACATAGGCCAGGCGGGCCTCAAACTTAATCAGCTGCACCTATCTCTGCCTCCCTTGTGCTGGGATCAAAGGTGTGCAACACCACCGCTGGCTTTTTGGTTTGCAGGTTTTTTTGTTTGTTTCTTTGTTTTGTTTTTTGTTTTGTGGTTTTTTTTTTTTAAGACATGGTGTGTGTACTAGGAGCTCACTTGTGTAGCCCAGGATGACCTTGGATTTCTGATCCTTCTTCCACCACCATCTAAGTGCTGGGATTACAGGACTGCATTCCTGTGCTCTACATTTTCTTCCTAAGTTATGTCAGATGGATCGGCTTATATCGGTTTTGAGACATTTCAACACATTCAGATCAGGCACTTCGACCATTGTGTAGGGACGTGTCACACACACACACACACACACACACACACACACACACACACACACCAGTTATACACTCATCCCCCTGTCCTGGTTTCATCTTGGTGCCACCCATGATAAACATAACGACCGGAAGGAAGCAGCTTTGAGGCAGGAAAGGGTTTATTTCCGCTTCCGGGTCTTAGTCCATCATTGGGGAAAACAGGGCAGGAACCCAGCAGAAACCATGGAGGAATGCTGTTCACTATCTATCTGGCTCAGCCAGTGCTCATGCTGAGCTTTCTTAGACAGCCCAGGACCACGCCCAGTGAGGGCGCCGCCCACAGTGGGCTGAGCATGTTTACAGGATTCCATACAGACATCCCCAGGCCAGTCTCATGCGGGCAGCTCCTCAGGTGACTCCACTCTGTGTCCCGTGGACCCTTGAAAACTGTCACACCCACCCCTGGACTCCTCTTTCTTTGGAAGTGATCTTTTCCGTATTCATGTCAATAATAACAGTGCAGTGTGGCGGTGGCGGCACACACCTTTGATCCCAGCACACGGGAGGCAGATGCAGGTGGATCTCTGAGTTCAAGACCAGCCACAGCAACCCAGAGAAACCCTGTTTCGAAAAACCAGAAAAAAAGAAACAACAGAATTGTTGTTGTTAGGTTTTTGAGACAAGGTTTGAATACATAGCCCATGGCTAGACCTCAGGGTCCTCCTGCCTTCGCCTCCCAAACGCTGGGATTGCAGGTCAGTACCTCCATGCCTGTAGTTCTTGGCCTTGACTTTGGATGGTTTGGACCATAAGCCGTCCCTGGGCTTTTCCCCTGCAGTCTGTCCATCACTAACCTGACCCTGTCACGGGGTTCAAGGTCTCTGTGGATCCCATGAGGTAGAAGCCTGCGCGGATGAACAAGCACATCCCTACAAAGGCCTTGCTTCTAGATGTCTGTATGATACCCTAGTGTCTGTCCTTACTTGGCGCTTCTACCTTCTGAGACTTCCCCTGAAGGAGCCCTCATGTCAGCTTCCATAACTATGACCTGTCCAGTGGCTCTGAGTTGCTTTTTGCTCAGCCTGGCCCTTAGAAACATGGGTATAACAGGAGCTTAATGAGCAGGTATGGGGTGGTGGTATGGTTCAGTGGTCAGAGTGCCTGCCTGGCATCCACAAAGCCCTGGATTCCATCCCAGCACTGCAAAATCCAGGCATGGTGTTACAGGCCTGTAATTCCAGCACATAAGATGGGGAGGCAGGGAGATCAGGAATCCAAGGACATCCTTGGATACATAGGGGGTTCGAGGTCAGCCTGGGCTCCATGAGACTCTGTCTCACAAAAAGCAAAACAGAATGACAAGCAAAACAGAACGACAGAAAGACAGGTCTTTCTTGGCTGGAGTAGTAGCGGGGCAGGAGTGTGAATTGTCCCACTGTAGCACAATGGGGTTGAGAGCTGGCCCCTTGTGGGCATAATGACCAGATAGGTCATGGGCCATGCCATCCCTGGCTAAGCAGAAACCCATTCTGAGATTTCAGATTCCCTCTGTCATAGTTATATCTCTTTGTTGCTATAACAGAACCCTGGACAAAAGCTACTTAAGGAGGAAAGGCTTGCTTGGGCTCACAGTTTGAAGGCGCAGTCACTCATGGCGGGCAGGTGGGCAGGGGAAGCATGAGGCAGCAGGTCACAGTGCTTCCCCAGTCAGGAAGCACAGAGATGAACGCCGACTCGCAGCCGTCTTTTTTCTTTTGATTCAGTCCAGGACCCCAGCCCATCAGATGTGCAACCCACATCTAGGGTAGATGTTCCCTCCCCAATCAGCCTAATCTAGAAACCCCTTCATGGACTTGTCCAGAGGTTTGTTTCGGGGGTGATTCTGAGTCACATCAGGTTAGCAAGATGAACCGTCTCCCCTCAACTCTCACCCGAATGGGTGGTCCAACTCTCACCCGCATGGGTGGTCAACCCCCGTGCCCTGGTCTGTGCCTCTAAGAGCCACACTGGTGGCACCTTGTCTGTGACATCTCTGAAGGGAACAGCCTGCACCTTTCTCATGCGCTCTCTCTCCTCTCTTCCCAGGATGTTCGATGAGCGCATTTTCACAGGTGAGTGAGTACCAGTGGGTGTGTTCTGGGAGTTAGGCTGACCCTGCTACCTTGAGTTGTCTTCTATGTCTTGGGCTTTTATGTGATCCAAGGGCATCCCGATGACTGACAGACTGGAACCCTCCAGAGTTTAGAGTCTTCTTGGAGGAAAACAGTATTACTGTTTGCTAAACACACAGCCAGGTTCCTTTCAGAACTACCTTGCTTTTTGTTTATGTTGGTGTGTGTGTGTGTGTGTGTGTGTGCGCTCTCGTGCGTGTGCCCTTATGTAGGTTTGCCCTTGTGTATGTGCATGCATGTGCCCTTGTGTGTATACATGTGTGCCCTTGTTTGTGTTTGTGTGAATGTGCCCTTGTGTATGTGTGCATGTGTGTGCCCTTATGTGTGTGTGCACGCATGTGACGGTGTGTGTGTGTGTGTGTGTGTGTGTGTGTTTATCCATGTGGAGGCCAGAAGTTAACACTGGGTATCTTCAACAGTCAGTCTCTATATTATTCTTTTGGGGGACAGATTGCTCACTGATTGAGTTTTGTGTCATTGCCCCCCTAATCTCTGTTAGGAGCATATGTCACTGTTTTTCCATGCATCTTTTTCCATGAAGGCTGGGGCTCCATGTTCAGGTTCTCTAAGATTGCAGGCATCTGTATTGTATTCACCTTGTATTCACCCTCAGCCTTGTGCAGACACAAGTCTGATCCACGCCCACTGACAGATGGAAGTGAGGCTGTGGGGCTTCTTTTAGATGCCATGGTTCCAAAGCCTCTGCCGTGATACCTTGTAGAGGGAAGATTTCGATTGTGTCCCGGCTACCAAAAGCTGCGCAGATCCTTGGGGCATGGTGTGCCTGGGCCTGAGCCTCGTTAACAGCTCCGCTACCCGGCACTTTCTGATCTTAGACATTGTCTGTAGGCCTCAGTTTCCCCATCTGTGATATGGAGGTGGTAGAAGGAGCTGGGTAGCCGGGCAGTGGTGGTGCACACCTTTAACCCTAGCACTTGGGAGGCAGAGGCAGGAGGATCACTAAATTTGAGACCAGCCTCGTCCACAGAACAAGTTCCAGGATAGCCAGGGCTACCCAGAGAAACCCTGTTTTTTTGTTTGTTTGTTTTTAAAGGTGATAGCTGCTAGTTTTTTGTTTTATTAAATGAGAAAATGGCCCCATGGAGAAACCTGGTGGGAGTGTGGCCTTTCTCCTGAGGATCTTACATTACCGTGTCCTGGTAGAGGGCAGAGACATCCTTCCAGAATGAGGGCAGGGTATGGACAGATGAATTCCTGGCTGTTTCAGACACAGCCCCCAAAGAGAGATCAAATACACACCCCACCCTTCCAGGAATGCTCTGAGACATGTCCTGTAGAAGCCACTCTCTAGGTGTCTCCTACTTACCAGGGTTTAAGGGTTCACAGATAGGTCTTACTGTTGTAGCCCAAGCTAGCTATGAACTCACGGCAATCCTCCAACCTCAGGCTCGCAGGTATGTGCCACCTCATTTGCATGAAGAGCCATCATTTTAAGCCCAACTCTTCCCACAGGGAACAAGTTTACCAAAGACCCCATGAAGCTGGAGCCAGCTAGCCCACCAGAAGACACTTCCACAGAAGTCTGTAGGGACAGTATGCTGGATCTGGCTGGGACTGCTTGGTAAGGTTCCTCCTCTGCTCTGGGTTAGACCTATGTTCTGCACAGTATAAGAAGGGCTGGTCCTGGCTGGTCCCCATCACCCCACTCAGGTACATGGTTTCTACACAAGGACTCCAAATATATATCTTCCAGGCCAGAGAGAGACAAAGTGGGGCAAAAGAACATGGAGGACTAGGTATTTCAGGTCAGTTATCTTGGGAGCCTTCTTTGGTTCCTTGCACTGCTTTTCCCTGACACAGACAAGTCACTGGCCTTAATCCCCAACCCAGGGGGATTCAGAAACTGAGGGAAACAAGATCTGGTCATGTGGACTGCATGTGTGGAGTTCAACTTTAGAGCATCAGCCTAGAATCCCCCAGTGAGGGACTAGGGGCATGGCTCAGCGGTAGAGCCCCTGCCTAGAATCCCCCAGTAAGGGGCTGGGGGCGTGGCTCAGTGGTAA